ACAGTAGATATTTCTTTCCTATTTGGGGCACTGCACCAAACACTTCACATGTGAAGATTAGAGAAATAGCCAAGGATGCAATGAGATAAGTATTATGTAAGTGTCATTTCACAGAGAAAGAAACTAAGGCCCAGAGAAGATTCAGTAACTACAGTAGATCACACAGTGAGTAGGGGGGGAAACAGTGAGGATTCCCTGCTGCTTATTCTGGAGGAAACAAGTCTTACACTGGGACTGCCAGGACAGGGAGTGAAGACTGATTTATGTGTGTGAAGCTAAACCAGCCTGACATCAGGTGTAGATAAAGAAAATGAGAATTATAATACCAACGCAAGCATGATCCCATCACCAAAAAAGAAGGCTGAATGACTGTTATTTTAATGACAGATGGATTAGGGAGGTAAATAACCCAAACAGAGCATAGTGCACCATTTGGAGAAAAGAACTTGCAATTGGATACAGTGGAGAAGGGGATGTAAAAGCACATATGGGGATGTAAAAGCTTGTATCTCACAAGTCCAGGATGAGGCAGGCAAGTACCTCTAAAACAATCAAAAGTGTTTTCAGCCCAGCCAGCATGGCTCAGTGGTTGAGCATCGACCTATGAACTAGGAGGTCACAGTTCCATTCCCGGTCAAGGGCACATGCCCGGGTTGCAGGCTCAATCTCCAGTGGGTAGTGTGCAGGAGGCAGCCGATCAATGACTCTCTCTGTCATTGATGTTCCTATCTCTCTCTCTTTCTCTCTGAAATCAATAGAAATATTTTTAAAATGTTTTCATGTCCCCAAAAGATGCCAGTGTTCAGTCAAAAATAGCAGCTGCTGAATGGATTAGCTTGAGCATACCACATAAACAAACATGCATTATCATATGTTCCCTTGATTGTTCTATGAAACTGAGTAAGTTTACATTTTCTGATTCAGAGGTTGCAAGTAAAATATCCTGTGGGAAAACAAAAGAAGAAATTTGGATAATAGATGTGTTGGCCCCTTACAGCGTAGAGCTGATTTTGCCATATCTCACCAACAATGATGTTTTCTACAGCATATCAACCTCAAGGGATGAGCCAAATCATGGCATCAAGAGGGAACTAGCTCTTACGTACTTTGACTTGAAAATGGAGTTTCAAATAGTGGGCTTGATATCTATGAGGATTTAACGAAACTGCTGAAATCATAAAACAAAAGATTGTTGATATTTTTTCCAAATGCAAACTCATCTATCTGCATATTTATCAGACAGTACAAATGTAAATTTTGGCAAATTCCATACAGTCTATAAACTTCTTAACAGGGATAATGAAAAGATCTTACCTATTCAATGACCTGCACATCTTATATACAACATTGCTAAAAAGAGTTGTGATTGCTTAAATGTGATATTGAGATTTTCATAATGAAAGTTTGTGGTCATTTTTATCAAATGCAAAGAAGCACTTAATGAGTTTTTTTACTTAATAGAAATGGAAGGAGATAACCTCTGTAGACATGTGCCTACAAGGGGGCATCATTGCTCCCAGCCATAGAAACCATGCTAAAATGGGTTACCATAAAATCATATTTTCAGAGTGTGGGACAAGAACAATATCCTTTTTGATTTGAAAATATATCGAGGATGAGAGTGGAGAAAAGGACTACAGTAAGATAGAAGTTTATATGCTGTTTGCCAGCACTGTTTGTTGGTCTTTGAAGAGGCCATAAAGAGCCTGTAAAAAGAATAACCTGGCTGCACCTGAGCTGTTTGATATAAGATTGTTCCCGAATTAAAAAAAAAAAAAAAGATGTCAACAGAAAAGGGAAGCCAGGTGAAACAGTACCTTCTTAATTTCTTTACTAGAACTGTAACTTATTTGGAATCCAACTTCGATTTCACCAGTTCTGAGCTTTAAAACCATTTTCCGTGAGAAGAAGATGTTTAACTTACGATGACATCCAGTGTGCTTCAGAGCATTTAAAAATGACATATTTTATTCCCTAGCCAGTTTGGCTCAGTGGATAAAGCATCAGCCCACAGACTGAAGTGTCCCGGTTGAATTCCTGTCAAGGACATGGACTTGATTGTAGGCTCAGTCCCCATCCCTGGTCGGGGTACATGTGGGAGGCAACTAATCGATGTGTCACATTGATGTTTTTCTCTCTCTCTCTCACTCTCACTCTCTGTCTCTGTCTCTCTGTCTCTCTCTCTCTCTCCACCTCTCCCCCTCTCTTCCACTCTCTAAAAATAAGTGGGAAAATATCCTTGGATGAGGATTAACAAACAAACATAAATACATACATACATATATACATATGACATATTTTAGACATGGATAGCCTGTATGATGAATTTATAGATGCAAAGGACCTGATAGACAAACAGCTGGCCTATCAATACAAGCCTATGGATTCAAAGTGGGTGCCATTTTTTTGAGAAATGGAAACAAATTCCTATGATCTAAACACCTGCTGTTGCTGGTAAGTAAAATCCTAAGTATTTCATGCTCAAACATTCTTATTGAGAAGATATTGCCATCACATTTGGACTGACACTAGGAGTCAGTGTCATGTGGCCTGAGAAGAACAGAGCTGCAAGTCATAGTGCATTCTACATTTGACTGTGTTCAGTGTTACCGCTGCATAAAAGAAAGGAAGGGTGTCCCGAAGGCTGCAGGCAGTTCAGAAAAGTATTTATTGGGAAAGGAGACAGAAAGAATAAAAAGAGTCTAGTATGTGGGACAGAAAGAAATGTTATTTTTATTAAACATAGGAAATATCTAATTAGTCCTCATTTTTATTCCCCTTTTAAAGTCTTGTGTCTCTTATTTTGTTTTGTATTTAAAATACCCATAGCATTTTAGCACAGCAGTATGTGTCTGATTTAGAAATAATTATACACATATTGATACTTTAAGCAATTAAAAAAAAAAATAAAAATAAAAAAAATAAAAAAAAAAGAAATAATTATACACATATTGGGATGCTTGTTCAAAATTTCCTTTACTGATGAGCACAGGCCTAAATGATAAGTAACCATGTGGGTTCTGGAAGAAGAGAAGAGTCAAGGACCTGAAGCAGACTCTTTTGTTTCTTTAAAACTCAGTAAGTCTCCTGTGACTTTGGTTTTTATGAATCCATCTCCCAAAGCCAGGGTGCCCCTGGGAGAACCGATACAAACTGAGTTTCTGCACATTTGGAAATGAGGACCAGTCTCAGGAACTACAGGACACTCACTGAGGTATAAACATCCGGGGAGGACCTGCCTGAGCAGCCGGGCTGCCAGTCAGTTGGGCCCTCAACCCTGTTCTCCCCTTCTCCAATTCCATGTATATACAACTTCTGAAAACCCACATTTCCATAGATTGGGAGTTCTAAATCCTGAGGGGCCTGGGAATGGAAATCAGGAGATCTGAGAACTTGGACAGGAAAAAGAAAGCTCTATTTCCATTAATCTCTAATTAAAATTTAGCATTTCTTTTTATTGGGAAAATAGGCTGCAAACTACAGCAATATTAGTACCTGTGACTCTGTCATCACTAGGAATCACAGATATTCACATGTTACAGATACCTCAAACTATTGCTTATGTGTACCACTATTGGAAATTAGGTTATTATTAAACCCACTCCTAGATTGTGTGATTTTATAAAGAAGCACATCTATTATATCACAGGTGTAAGTGTTTAATAATTTGATAACTGTATATCAATAAAATTGGCATCCTTGGCAATCCTATGTATTTTGTGCATTTCTCCAGACTGCCAAAGGGGTTGGTGGCACACTGGAAGTTAGTGTCTCTGCTGTGGATCATGAATAGAAAGCTTTACAAATAGGTAGAGGTCAGTAAGCTTTGATGTACCCCTGTCTGGCGCTCTAACCTTACCATTAGCTGGAGTAGGTGGCAGCTGGTGGCATATGAGTTGAAAGGACAATGGCCCCTTTGCCCAAGACCTTCCTGTTTCCACATGTCCAAGGGTATGGCATTTCTGTAATATGCAAAGAGTTGTTTTTCGACATTTAGGTGAAAATGCCTTGAGTAGGAATATCCTGAGGCTGTTTTTACCTTTGAATACCTCTCTGACAGGGAACCTCAGGGGGCATCCAATCTGAGCAGCATCTTAAATCCAGGCACGGAAGGTCAGGGGAAGTTATTTACCAGGGTTTACATCAATTAAAGAATGATGCATTCCAAGAGGGTTTCAGTTTTATTCTGAATAGAGAAAGTGTGCTGGGAGTCTGAGTGGGTGGATGTAGGAGGGAAGAGAGAGAGGATGGGAAGAGAAGGGGATGGAAAGGAACTCTGGGAGAACTCAGAGCCATTCTTCAGGGCACCACTTCCTCCAACCCACATTCCAGTGCCTGGCATCCGCTCTCCTATGTATCTTGAGGAGTCGTAACTCCCTAGGACCAACTTAAGATTTCTCATAGGTTAGTCACATTACTTCTCAGAAGCACTTTTCAGCATGTGGAATAGATTCAGCAAAGTTCACAAGATTCAATGTATATTTTAGCTTTTTTTTTTTTTTTTAAAGAGAAATCTGCTATTATTCCCAGTCCCACGGCACCCCTAATGCCACTTGGTGACTACTAGATGACAGCCTTTGACAAATGTATCATGAGCTATTGTGTAAGGAAATGGCCTAGAAGTCAATGCCAGCGTGAGATGAGAAGTTATGAGGAGGTATAATTCCAAAGTCAAGTTAAGTTTCTTTTTGGAAATGGATTATTCCAAGAGAAGACAGATTTAAAGTGCCTTCCAATTCTGGCACTCTATACCTTTCCCCTCAGATATTTAAGCCCACCTAGTCCTGGGCTTGGATGATAAAACTAGGATCCTGACTGCCCTGTCACATCCAGATGACTCCTTTCAGTGGTTCTCAACCTTCCTAATGCCGCCACCCTTTAATACAGTTCCCCATGTTGTGGTGACCCCGATTTTCATTGTTACATATAATCATTGAATATAATTAAAGCATAGTGATTAATCACAAAAACAATATGTAATTATATATGTGTCTTCCGATGGTCTTCGGCGACCCCTGTGAAAGGGTCGCGACCCACAGGTTGAGAACCACTGCAAGATGGTGGGTAATGAAGGGTGCTTGGGCTTTGAAACCTGACAAGCCTGAGCCCTCACCTTTGCACCCCACGGAGACTTCAGCTCCCTCCACTGAAAACGGAAAGGATCTGCTGGAGAGTAAGTAACAGGCGTGGGGTGCTAGACACGAAAGTCCCTGGAATGATGAATGAACTGCAGGGTTAAAGATCTTCTGGGATTCCTGCTACATACACCCAGACCCACCGCCTGCGAATGCTTGTTGGTTCCGCTCCGTCCTTCCGGCAGGGGGCAGCAGACCCCAGCCCCAGGCTCAGGGCCAGAGCAAACGCAAGGCAGATGGAACCAGCAGCCAGACGACCCCTCCCGGGATGCTGAAGGCCTACCTGGCTGGCCCTCTGCCCTCCGCGGGGCGGGGCGGGGCGGAGCCGCACTTGACCGTGGACGGAGGGACGCTGCGCATGCGCGCCTCGGGAAGGCACCGCCCAGAACCCGCCGCTGCTGTCGAGATCCGGCAAAGTGGGGCGCAGGCCACCAGGACCACTTCCGGACTTCAGGTACGAAGTTTGCTCCGGCTGGCTCCTGGGAGGACTTGGGGCTGTAGGTGAGTTGTACACCTTGCAGTGGAGCACTTGCTGCCCTGAATTTTCTCGCAAAGGCGCAGAAATCAGCAGCCATGCAGAGGACCTTGGTAGGTTTCTTCAGGAGATGGGGTCCCAGGGATCGCTTCTCTAACCGTCCTGGGAGCTCCCCACGTTTCTTCCTCCTCAAGGTCCGGAATCTCCCACCTGGCCTCCCTCTCACCTTCCTGGAGCTAGGCAGAGGTGGGGATGGGGGTGGGGCTCGTGGATCTTTGCAAAAATGCGAGGCAGGGTTTTACTTTCCTAGCATCACCCAGGTTTCACTGAAAAATGTGTCTTTCGAGCCCCAAGGAGTGCAGAGTTAGGTAATTGTTGTTATTCAACGTGTGAAAATGCTTTTTATATGGTAGCTTACAGAAAACCTCTAAGTGGGGTCCCAAATTTTGGAGGGTTAGAGGCAAGGCAGAACTCTTGTCACCTGGATTGTACCCGGTGCACAAAGTCATTTTGCTGCATTGCACCCAAGATGTTTTCTGGCCCTTCTAAGTGCTGAGCATCTCCTTTGCGATGTGTCCCACATGGTCTCTCCACTCCCACCCCCACCCCCCACCCCCCATCCCTTCATGTTGATGAAGCTTTTCATGTGTGCTTCTGCGTTGCTCAAATGGTCATGCCATGGAAGAGGAGAAAGAAGGGTGATTGCTTTTTGTTGAAATTTTCTCTGTGAGTACAGAAACTTCTTGCAAAGATTGGAAATAGATTTTTTTCCCCTCCTTAAAACAATGCTCAGTTCACTAGGAGATTAAGGGGCTGGCTGTTTCCTGGCATTAGAGCTATACTGAGGGTAGGTAGGTCAGTGACACCACGTCTTCAGACAGTTTGTTACCTAGGCTCACTCACCACTCATTCATTCAGCAGGTATTTACTAAAACCTGCCTGTGTGTGTGACAATGAGCTTGATCCTGTGAGAAAGACAAAAATGAATGTAACCTGAGCTTTATATTTGAGGATCTGGGCTAGCTGAGAGGAGAGATAAGTCCAACATAACTAACTCTATGCCAGGTAGAAGAGGGTGTCAGAGGAAGAAGTGGGGGCTCAGAGGAGGGAGAAGAATCAGCCTTTCACATCAGGTGGTTGGCTTACTAGGAAAATTAAATCTCCAGATTATTATCTGGTGATGATCGATCTCTCATAAGCGTCAGGTCTATATAGGTGTTTTCCCAACTGTGTGTCAGGCATCTCAGACTGAACATGTTTCAAACAGATCTCATCGTTCCTGGTCACCTCCCTCCTTCCCCCACCACACGCCTACTGCTGTTCCAGTGTCCCCTGTTTCAGGGACTAGCATCAAGGCTCCCCTGCCCCTTCGGCTCCTAATGGTCCAAGCCAGAGACCCAGGTGAATCATCTCTGACTCACCCCTCTCCCTCACCTCTATATCCAGGCTTATTGATGCTACCTCCTGAGCCTTTCTCATATCTGTCCACCTCTCTCCACCCTCATTGCCATTTCTCCAGGCCAGGCTATCACCATCTCATGCTTTGTTTACTGCAACCGCCTCTAATCTTATTCCCCTGTCTCGCTTCAACACATCTCCCTCTACCAGGAAGTGCTTGCTGGCATTAAATCTGTTCCTGGGGCTCCCTTCATTCATCCTTTGCTGCCCTTGAGACCTTGAGACAGAAACCAGATTCCCTCACATAGCTGGTCTGGCCCTGTTTTTCTCACCAGCCCCATCTCTTTTCATAACCCCCTTGCAGTTCTTTCCACTTAAAAACATGCTATGGTTTCTCATGCCACGAGGCCTTGGCCTACAACAAGCCCTTCCTTGCTACCCTCTTCACTTCGATTACTCCTATTCTCTCCAAGGTCCCCACTGGGACTCTGTCTCCTCTAGGAATCCTTCCTTAAGCTCCCAAGCCTCTTTAGATGCCCAGGCCTCTTAGGGCTCATTCATGTCTCTGCCTCCTCCTCTGTGCTGTATTACAAGTCCTGGAAGACCAGGGCCATGTCTGAGGGCTTTGCTTCCTACCGCCTTGTGCAAAGAAGATGTTCAATAAATAGTTGCTAAATGGAATTCAGTATAAATATAAGTTGCAATATTATCATTTCACTCATTGAATGCCTGAATCATAAATTCACCCAACCTCAGTGGTTTTCTCAGATCAAGCTTAAAAATGGGTGTGAGGGTGAACAAAAAGAATAACCATTATTAGAGTAGCTAATATTCGTTGAGTGCTCAGTATGTTCTAAGTGCTTTATGGTATTAACTCATTTAATGATCACGGCTCTATGAGGTAGATATTTTTTATTATCCCTGTTTCACAGATGGAGAAACTGAGTTACACAGAGATTAATGAACATGTCTTATGTCACCCAGCTAGTAAGTGGTGACATCAGGTTTGAAGCCAACCATATACTGTGGAATATGGTTAGTTCTCTCAGAAAGATAGTAAGTAGGACTGAACATGAGATACTCATTGGGCTGAGGATGGTGAGTCCCCAGATGGAAGACAGTGCCATGTGCTCACAACTTTTAAAGATATGAGGCCAAGTGGAGTAATTAACCCAGAATTTAAAACTCTAAAGAACATTTGTTTCAGTTGCATATTCACTTTTTTTTCGGCCAGTAAAGCTCAGTTACGAAAGGCATTATAGTGTCTAGGGATGAGACTTCTCTGAGTGTGAAATCTTGCTTCTGCTGTGAGACCTCAGAGGTGTTGCTTGCCTTCTCTGTGCCTCTCCTCATCTGGAAAATGGAGATAGTAATGGTGGTACTTACTGCAGAGGGTTGTGGTGATAATTAAATGAGTTGATACATGTAAGGCCTTAGAATGGTGCCTAGCACATGGTACTTGCTCGTAAACATTATCCTCATTATTATTTGTTTTTCCATCATTTAGTCAATAATGGTTTTTGAACGCAGGTCCTTCCTACACATTCAGTCTTACTGCACTGCTTCTTGGGCACAGATGATCTCCCCTGTTTTATTTCATTCTTCTTCCCACAGATACTGAGGATTTTTCAGTGTTGCCTCCTTTTCAGGGCCATCGTCTCCTCCTGTGCCCCGGATTTCCTCCCCAAAGACCCTTCCGCACAGTAAGTTCTAGCTTACCCCCGAGATAAGTTTACAGCCTGTTTTCCATCCTTCTGAGTCAATTTGTTACCAAGTGCTACAGAAAATAAAAGACCGGGTTAACCTAAATGAGAAGCGGTGAGAAAACTGAGAATGCAATGAAATCTCATACATCATTCCTCATACATACAAAGATAATTATTCCCCCTCCTCCTCCCGTGGAGGAGATATCGATGTAAAAAAGTTAAGGGATAAAGCACTGTAGGGACTCTCAGAGGAGTTGGTGTTAAGGATGGGGTGTGATGCCAGAACCAAGAGCCAGCTAGTGACCAGTGTCATGTCTCCAGCCTGCAGCCCGTATACTTTCCCCTACATCTTAGAGACCTGTGGGCAGGACTTCTGTGGAGTCTCTCACCCCTGGATCTATGCTTCACCTGCTGCTGTGATGCACAATAGGATATCGTTGTCATTCAGTCAACTTTATGCCAGGGCTTCGTTATATTCCTTAGTGACTTAACCATTGATTAAGCGTGGATGTCTCTGCCGCCCCCAGACTAGCTGTCTCATCACAAAGCCCGAGACAAAGCATGTGTTTAAAGTGAAGCTGTGGTTCAGTCAACAAACAACATCCACATTACCCCTTTCCATTCTTCAGTGTGAGGAGGATGGAGGGACAAATACCTGTTCAAAGATGAAAGGATTATAAGGTGGAGTTGCTGACGTCAAGGAATTTAGAAGAAGGAGCAGTTGGCTCCAGACCAGGCTAGAGTGACTAAGGAGGTTGGGAGATAGTCAAGAGCGGGTGGGCTGTCGGGAGTGGTGGGGGTTTGTAGGTGGGAAAGAGGCAGACATTCCAGGCATTAAGCAAAGATTGCGGTGTTGTCTCCAGTGAGGAGACCTGGCTAACCACAGCAGAAGTGGAAGGGAAGTAAACAGCTGAAGGAACAGCAGGTTTGGGAGACCAGGAAAGGAGACTCAACCTGGGTGTCTCCCGGGTGGGCTTGAGGGGGATGAGCGTGGTACACAGTGGCCCAGGGTTGGATGAGTGAAGATCTAGCTTCCCCTTTTTAGTAGAGAAATCAATGTCTATAATTCTGAGTAATGCATATCACTTTTATATATATTTGTTTTCCCAAACTCTTTTTATTTTGTAGAAGTTGTGCTTTCTCTCTTGCTCTACGACTGCAGCCTTGCCAATGGACCTTGTTGGTTTTGGTTATGCAGCCTTTGTGACATTTGGAAGTATTGTGGGATATAAGCGGAGAGGTAAGCCCTTTTCATCAACATGCCTTGGTGGGGGCTGCTGATTGTACAAGGAGCAGCGGGGGGCCTGAGAGTAGGACAAGAAGCTAAAGATGTCCTAGAGGTGGCTGGGGACCAGCAGTGAAAAGGATTCCTAGATGGAAGGGGGTTATAGGGGACTGGGCATATAGAGCATTCAACCTGGGGGTTCTGGGTCCCTCTTCATTACAAAATTTTCATTTTACCTGTCATTATCAGTCGCATAACTAATTGATTTAACCTCCTCAGGACTGCTCACTTATTAGCAATTGAGGACATTTTTTGTTTACATAGTCATAGTGTCAGAAACTGAATTATCTTGATATCGTGTGTTGCAAAGGAAAATTCGTTGACTACTTAAATATCATATCTCAAGTTATCTCTCCATCTCTGTCCAAAAGAAGAAAAAAAAAATCCAGTTGATAAATTAAAGGGTTTTCATGAAGAACAATGAAAGGTCAGGTTTTATATTTTACTTTGTTTTAAGGTAGAAGCATTTATAGTTATGGTGTCTCATATTTTCCTTATGTTTTTGTGAAATTGTTTTAATGAAGTATATTTTAAAGAGTGCTGTATTTCTGGCATTGGTGGACTTGAGTTTGGGTGAAAAAGCCAGGTCTACGCAGTTATCAGATGACTTCCTTCCTTAGAGATTGATGAGAAGTCCAAGGCCAGAGCACAGTTTCCCCCGGGGGGACTGAGGGCCTGGCAGATGCGAACAGGTTCTCTGCTGGGATTCCTGAGAGCCTGAAATTCACCTGAGGTTTTTGTTGTTCTTATTTTCTCTCCCAATATGTACAGCACTGTGGATATGCATTTGATGGGAGAATAATGATGGCACCAAATTAAGACCTGCGAACAACTACATAAAAGTTGATGTTTCATAATCTACTTTAAAGAGTGCTCAGTGTAAAATCCTAATAGGATTGTTATTGAAAAAATGTTTTCATTGTCAAAGACATATTTAAATAACCTCTACTACAGAATAGGAAAGATCATCTGGACATTTTTGCCTGACTCTAAGAGGGGTGGGAAGAAGGAAGTGTGTGTGTGTGTGTGTGTGTGTGTGTGTGTGTGTGTGTGTGCGCGCGCGCGCCCGGGTCGGGGAGGAGAGAAAGGGAGGGGATTACTTTACTATTGTAGCCCAAATCTCATCAGGAACATATGCAGTCACATTAGCTGTAAGGTCTCTGATTTCAGGGGGTTCTTTGGCCTCCTGCAAGAGCCCCCACTAAGTGCTCCTGGGGCGCCTGAGGGTATTATATGTTCACAAGGAAGCCCACTCTTGTAGCATAATGTGTGTTAAGAGAATAACCACAGAATCATGCATTCCTGAGTTCTGCTCTTGACACTGCCACTTACTAGCTTTCATACTCTTTTTTTTTTTAATATATTTTTATTGATTAAGATATTACATATGTGTCCTTGTCCCCACGTTACCCTCTACCCCCCACCCCCCCCACCCCCCCTCATGCCCTCACCCCCCCGTTGTCCATGTCCATTGATTAGGCCTATATGCTTGCATATAAGTCCTTTGGTTGATCTTTCCCCCTTACCCCCACCCTCCCCTACCTTCCCTCCAAGTCCCGACAGTCCAATCAATGCCTCTCCGTCTCTGGATCAGTCCTTGTTCATCAGCTTATGTTGTTCATTATATTCCACAAATGAGTGAGATCATGTGGTATTTATCCGCTCTCCAGTTCCATCCATGCTGTGGCAAATGGTAAGAGTTCCTTTTTCTTCTTCCTCTTCTTAAAGAATACCTTTCAGCATTTCATATAATGCTGGTTTGGTGGTGATGAACTCCTTTAGCTTTTTCTTATCCGTGAAGCTCTTTATCTGACCTTCTATTCTGAATGATAGCTTTGCTGGATAAAGTAATCTTGGTTGCAGGTTCTTGCTATTCATCACTTTGAATATTTCTTGCCAGTCTCTTCTGGCCTGCATGGTTTCTGTTGAGAAATCAGCTGACAGTCGTATGGGTACTCCCTTGTAGGTAACTGACTGTCTTTCTCTTGCTGCTTTTAAGATTCTCTCTTTATCTTTTGCTCTTGGCATTTTAATTATGATGTGTCTTGGTGTGGTCCTCTTTGGATTCCTTTTGTTTGGGGTTCTCTGCGCTTCCTGGACTTGTAAGTCCATTTCTTTCACCAGGTAGGGGAAGTTTTCTGTCATTATTTCTTCAAAAAGGTTTTCAATATCTTGCCCTCTCTCTCCTTCTGGTACCCCTATAATTCTGATGTTGGTACGCTTGAAGTTGTCCCAGAGGTTCCTTACACTATCTTCATATTTTTGGAATCTCTTTTCTTTTTTCTTTTTCGGTTGGGTATTTTTTGTTTCTTTGTATTTCAAATCTTTGACTTGATTCTTGGGATCCTCTTTTCTGCTGCTGGATCTCTGTAAATTATTCTTTATTTCAGTCAGTGTATGCTTAATTTCTAGTTGGTCCTTTTTCATGTCCTCCATGGTCTCACTATACTTATTGAGGGATTCATTAAATTTATCGGCGGTTTCCATAAAATTCTTGAAAAACCTTATAAACGTGGCCTTGAACTCTATATCCAATCGTTTGCTTTCCTCCATTTCTGCCATTTGTGACCTGTTTCTTTGTCTCCACATTTTGGCAGCTTCCCTGTGTTGATAGAGTGGCCCTGTGCGCCAGGTGTCCTGTAGGGCCCAGTAGCTCAGCCTCCCCAGTTACCTGGGGTGGACACTCTTGGTGCACTCTTGGTGCCTTGGTTGTTGTAGAATCACTGGGAGGAATTGACCTCCAGGCCAATTGGCTGTGAGAATCAGCTGTGTCTAAAGTGGGAGAACTTCTGTGCTGAAGACACCCTTCTGGGGCAAGACTTGCTTCAGTGGGGCTTTGGTGCTCACTGAGTCTGCTCCCTGAGTGTGTCCCTTATGGATCTGAGGAGTTGCAGTCTGGATGGACCCCCTCTGACCACTGGGTACAGTGGCTCCTGGATCTAAGGAGGTGCTAATTCAGCCTCTGCCTGAGGCCACACAGCAGGAGCCACGAAGAGGCTCAGCTGTGAAGCAATGCAAGCCGCTGCGGGGCCTTGGGCCTTCTCTTGGAAGTTCAGGGTCTGCCTGGTTCGGCTGCAGTTAGGTACATTCACATGCAAAAGCCTCTGCCGCAGCCTGGGTGGGGCGGGGTCTCAGGGCGGAGAAAGCAGCTATGGCCGATTCTCCGCCCGGAGTCCCGCGTCTCAGTGTCCCGGTAACGGCTGCAAGCACCTCTGAGGGAAAGCCGCCCTCAAGTTCGCTCGCTGCCGAACAGACCAGCCTCTCCCCGTATGAGTCCTGGGTCCCCAGAGACTTCCCGGAACCGGAGTTCAGAGCAGTCAGGAGCTTGTGACTCAAAAAGACAGCCGCGTCCTCAGGTACCACCCCCTTTCCTTGCGCGCGCGAGCCGCCGTACCTCTGCACTTCACCTCCACAGCGCCTCTGGCTCTCAGCGTGCTTTTCTTTCCTTCTAGTTGTAGAATTTACACTCAGCCAGCCTTCCTGTTGTTCTGGATGATGTTTGCTCAGTCCTTTGCGGTAATTTTCAATTGTTGTGTGAGGCGACAATTTCCCGGTGTTTACCTATGCCGCCATCTTAGTTGCTCCTAGCTTTCATACTCTTATACGTTGTTTTAACTTCTGGGCTTCAATTCTTCATTTGTAAGTGAATCTGTTAGGATTAAATAAAATATTCTCCCTAACCATATTCTTATCTGACTTCTGCTTGACCCAATGACAGGGAGCACCCAGGCATGCATTTCATCCATATTTAGCTAATGCTGCCTGTACTGTTTGGGGCACTAGGAAGACAGCAGTGAGCAAAAAAGACATGGCGCTCACAAGTGAGTGGGGGAGACTGACATTAAATATCCGATGACGATCAATGGGAGACTCTAAAGGGGGCCCTCATTCAAAAGGATGGGTCAGAGAAGGCATCTCTGAGGAACTAACGCTTCAGATTACATCCGAAGGTTAGCTGTAGTTGATCAGGTGAACAGTGCAGGGAAGGGCAGTCCAGGCAAGGAAGAGCATGTGTGAAAGCCATGAGGAATAGAGTTTGGCATATTCAGCGAACTGAAAGAAGGCCAGAGCTCCAATAATAGAGAAAACTTGGGGTTTTCCTAAGTGTAATGAGAAGCCAGAGGGTCTTTAATTAGAGGAGTGATCTGTCCAGTGTATGTTTTTAAAAGGTCATGTTACTGTGTTTAGAGGATAGCTTTGAGGGGGGTGGGGGTGTTGGGGGTACAATGAAAAATTTAATACTATATGTAAATGTAACATTCTAAGCCTTTATGTATGTGACATAGATGATATTATTAACCCTGTTTTGCAATTGACAAAACTCAGAGAGGCCAAGTGACTTAGCCAAAGTCCTTCAGGCAATAAGTAAAAGAATTTGGACTAGAACCTAGGGCACTTGGCTTCTCATTCAGGATGCTGTTGCAACTGAGGTGTGTGTGTGTGTGTGTGTGAGAGAGAGAGAGAGAGAGAGAGAGAGAGAGAGAGAGAGAGAGAGAGAGAGATTCTTAATCGGAATTGCAATCTGAATTCCTATGGATATTTAAAAAGTAGAGCTACCGTGACCCTACGCCTAGGGATTCCAATTCAGCAGATTCTCAATAGAGTGAATTCCATGAAGCAGGGCAGTGTGTCTTGTTTAGTGTCACTGGCACGGAGCCCAATGCACAGAAAGTGCTCTGAGTTGGTGCAATGGGGGGGGGGGGGGGGAGGCAGGTTGGGGGCTGGCAGGCTGCATCAGTGCCCTGGTTCTTCAAGTTTCTCAGTGTAGTCACCATTCATCCCTGAGCCCTGGCATCTTGAGGCTGGAAGGTTTCTTAATTATTCAGGATAGAGCCAGCACTTGGTTTGCATAGCACTTCTTTCTCTACCCCTATAAGCTAAAAATACCTCTGCATCTTATTTTTATCATCACAACCTCACAGTAAAGAGATGGAGACAAGGAGAATAGGGATAAAAAAGAGAGGGACATAAGTCAACCGTTTGCCCCAGGTCATGCGGTCAATGTCAAAACCACTACTACAAGGCAGACTTTCTTATTCCCTCAAATGAGTTGGGATTCGGCATGAAACAGTCATTTCTTACAGACTATCCACAAATAGGCCTGTATTCAGTTTGGCTATGTCCAGTTGCGATGCCCAAGTATAAATACACTGGAAGGTGAATGTATCATACTTGACGTAATTCACTTTCTGATTCTCTTTCTGTGCCCATATATCCCCGCCCCCCTACCCCACCCCCCTCCATCCCCCCACCCAGGTAGTATTCCGTCTTTGATTGCTGGTCTCTTTGTTGGACTTTTGGCTGGCTATGGAGCTTACCGTGTCTCCAATGACAAGCGAGATGTGAAAGTGTCTCTGTGTAAGTAAGACATTTTCCAGGTATGGAGCATCGAACCTGGGGGGTAGCTGATATGATGCTTCTAAATGTAATATTATTGCTTAGTGTGTTGGAATGGTACAAAACAAAAAATTCGGCCTTCTTCTAAATACTAAAATAGTATTATTTTATTAATCAGGTCTTACTTTAAAATATATATATTTATTTTCCTTACATTCGGTTATCTAAACATTTGTTGGGTGTCTCCGGTGGATGGCAGTATTCTGCCCAGAGTTCCTGAGGAAAGTTGAATAAGCCAGCAGTCCTAGTCCTCAAGGAGTATTCTGTAAATAGAAATTTAAGTTAGAAAAAGACTTCCTTTTAAAGGTGTTTCAAGAATGGATTTTAACATGCTTGTTTACTCAAACCTTTTTAATGAGCTAGTTAAGCGTTTTAATAGAGCTTTTCATCTTTTGAAGAAAATAGCAACTCAATACCTATGCATAATAGTTGTTATATTAGGAAGCTTAAATGATATCCCTTTTTTTTTCACAAGCAGGCATTGGTGAGGTGTTTGCAACTCTGATTCATGTATTGGTTTGTTTTTTAGTTGCTGCTTTCTTTCTGGCCACCATAATGGGTGTGCGGTTTAAGAGATCC